CAGCGGCGGCGGCGTGCTACCTCTGGCGACGTTGAAGAGGGGCGACGGCCAGTTGACTGAGCAACAGGGGCGGGGGAAGGGGGAGGTAGATCGGAAGATCTTGGGCGGCGGCGGCGGCGGCATAGACCGGCGAACGGCGGGGTAGACAAGCGGTGGCGGCGCCGCCATCGGGTTGTGCGAGAGAGAGAGGGTTGGGGTCACGAGAGAAAATGAGGTCGAGGGAGAAAGGTGGGGTTCGGGAGGAGTGGTCGTTCGAGGGAGCGGCGGGTCGAAGGCAGCCTCGCTGACCCCGGCTTGCCTCACTGGGGGTGCTGGGTTGAGCATAGCTGAGGGGCTTTTTTGCATCGGTTGAGCATAGCTCAATAGAGCCCATGCACCCTACCAAACAGTAAAAAGTGTGTTCGATGGAGAACTTTTGGGCTCATGCACCCTTCGTGCAGGCTGCCAAACACACCTTAAGTATATTGTAGTGGTATGTAACATTGTAACTAGTCAGAGAAGAAGACCTACCATGGATCCGCATCCACCAAGAAGATCAGCTGAGGATAAGATGCATCTACATTCTACAGACTACAGCTGCCGACTGGTCATTCGACGACTGGTCAAACATGCTGCATATTTGCTGACTCGGCGACAATTCATCTCAATGGAAGCATCCACCATCCACCCCACATGCCTTTAGTAGCGACAGGAACATCATCATCAACTCTGCGTGTTTCTATGCGTCCATACATGCATGTCTGACAGGGAAAGTCTTCAACAGGTTGCTTAATAATGTCTCATCTAAGTTGTGTTCCGTCTGATCTATTTGTTGCAAATCTTTGTGCAAACTTGATGGGACCTCCTATATGAGGCATTTAAGCAGCGCCTGTGAGGTTTGGGACTCAAGAACTCCGCTGGTTTGAGCTTGTCACTAGCCATTGGAACTGATCAGCTACGGTGTCTAGACAGTGACAGTTTTAAAAGCATTTTTCAAAACTTCAAACACGATTTTCATGAAAATGTGAATACTTATTAAAACGGGAATAATTTTTTATACATGCAAACAGTTTTTGAAGTTCTGACTATTTTATTGAAGAACATGGATATTATTTTTTGAAATTCTGGTTTTTAAAGCGCCAAAAACATTTTAAATTCCTGTAAAATTTTAAAAATCGTGAACGTTTTTTAAGTTTGAGAGGAAAATTTGAAAACAGAAATATTTTTGACACTCTGAAATATTTATAAAAACACAAACATTCATTCATTTAAATCCCAAACCATTTTCGAAAAGTGCAAACATTTTCTGAATTATTGAACAAACTTTGAAAATAAGAACATTTCAAAAAATTTAACTAGAAAACATGATTTTTTTTAAATTACTTTTTTTTTGAAAATGAAGAAATCAAGATAAATAAAATAAGAAACAAAGGACGAAAAACTAAAAACTGATAAATAAAAAAATAGAAAAAGAAAAGAAACATAAATAGAAAAACAAAATAAAAGAAAAAACAATAAATTGCGGAAAACCGTTGTGAGTCGATGGTTGCGAAATCCGGCTGGCTAGTTTAGTAAAGTGAGCTGGCCCATTTGTAGCGCTACATGGTTTCGGCTGTGCGTTGCGTCGACAGCTCGGCGCAACGTGCGGCGAATAGATATTTTCCAGAGTTTGTCTAAGAAAAGATATTTTCCAAAGTCGATTTTCGCTTTATTTTTGTCATGCGCTCCTAGCGTCATCGCGAAGTCCGGTTGTCTGTGTATTTTTGTTGGGAAACTATTCCCATCAGACGGCGGATCATACTATTGCATCGATCTTCTCCATCGGTATAAAGTCTTCCCGTCTAGTCCCCGTTCCGGTGATGCCTCTAGCAACATCGGTAGGCGTGTGTAGGTGTATCTCCGGTGGATCTGTCTTTGGTGGATTTGCTCGGATCTATTCGTCGTTCGTCTTCGTTAGTGTATCTTCAGATTGAATCCTTTTGATCTACACTCTTCATCGGTGGCGGTTGCTATTTTGGTGCGTTAGTTCTATGGGGACTTAGCACGACGACTTTCCGACTGTTTACTACAACAAGGTTTGCCTGGCTTCGACGAGGGAGGGGCGATGACAGCGGCGCGCCTTCGACTCGCTTCAGTGCTTGTAGTCGTTGCTAGGTGGTCTATGGATCATGATGTAATTTTTATTATTTCTAGTGTTTGTTGTACTAACATGATTGAAGATGAATAGATTGGAAGTTTTTCCCGCAAAAAAATTCTTCTCCGTCGGTATTTGTAGACACGTGTCATCGTGGTCCATAACACCACATGCCCCTTCTCTAGAAACATCACGAGCATTGCACTCTTTCCCTGCCTCTCTATGCTCGCTTGCAACCATGGCCACCACTCGAGCGCGTACGCCCGAGCACACCGCTCTGCCCACCATCTGCCCAGCTGTGCTGCTCCATCCTCCCCTTCCGCCATCTATCGTCGCTCTGGCTAGCGATGCTTTTTATACTTTTGGCAACAAGAGCATTGTTGCAAAAGTCCTCCCGCAACATCATTTTTGTTGCATAAATTTCTCGATTCAAGCCGCACATGATATCATCTATTTCAGCGGAAAATCTCTGCAACATCATTCGTGTTGCAAAAGTCCTCTCGCAACATCATCTATGTTGCAAAAGGTAAAGACAAGAAAAAATTCCTACAACACCACATATGTTGCAAAAGTCCTCCCGCAACATCGATGTTGCGAAAAAATGTGAAGACAAAAATAAGAAAAGGGCAAAAATAACGCTTTCGGTGTTTTTGCAACTACGCTATTGTTGCACAGCGAGCTACACAACATCTACCTTGTTGCAATTGTTACACACCTCATTGCGGAATAGCCTTAATCCAGCAGCACAGGAGGCGGTCGATGTTTTCAGTTAATCAACTGACGGACGCATAGCGGTCGCCAGTTACGCTCATTTTTTGTCCATCCTTTGTTTTTTCTTCTGGCCATTTTCGTGGGATTTTTGTTGCTGTTTGTTATTGGACTGCTTTGTAGTAGTGGAAGAACGAGGGTGCTTTGTATGTTGTCTCTTTTCTCATCTTCATTATGGGGCCGCTTTGCATCTCCCCATTCCTTGTCTCCTCATTTTTCCTTGTCTTCCATTAGTGCCGACACCTTATTTTGTATTTTTTGTGCGATCTTTCTTTTTTCTCTAGTTGCAACTCATATGTCGAGGTTAATTGGCAAAGTGGATGTCATCGTTGCACTCCACCTAAGGTTCTTGCATATCATCGACGTCAATTAAAGCTAAATTTATTATCAGCCCTCCGTCATACCTTCTCTTTATGGTGAGTAACGATCAATGTCGATCATATGCACACAAATCAATAGACGGAAGATCGAGCGTAGACGACAACAGTGATGATGCATGCGATGTGCAGTTGCACAAGTTTTTCCTCTTACCTACTAATATTCAGACAGATTTGGAGACTTGCTTGTCAAGCTTTCGCATTTCCGGATAAAGACAAGGAAGGAGAAGCCAAGTTATCTCACTCCATCACAATCAGCGGGAAGGGGATGCTACCTGCACGTACAATTAATCCCTTCACCAAATTAAGGAATGCTTACCAAATTTCTTGACAACTGCCAGCTAAAGTACTTGTGCAATTACAAAAAGCATGATCATGGGTAGCATTGACCTTAATGTATGGAGGCTCCGGGTTTTCTGGTCTCTAGCTGTAGAACGTAGGCACCTGGAGGAAAAAAATTGTCGATATTTTTTTAAATGGAGAAAATTAGCAATTTTCAGGAGTCGAGAAGACATAATCTTGGTTGAAAAATAGTATATTACATTTGAATAATTACCATCGGTGATGGTTCTAAAAATATTAAAACCAAATTAGGAGTAGTACCACAAATTAAGTTGTACCGTACTGGTTTAGAGTGATCTCACCATTCTTATAGTCATATATATACTCGTATGTTCGATTTCCAGACCAATTTTTTCAGCATTTCTTTAAAAATTGTGAATATTGGTGAGGAGCAAAACAAAATACAGAAAGGAAATCTTCAACCCTAGCTTATCTCTTAATTTTGTTTTTTTAAGGATTCAAAACTTTGTAAATAGAGTGGTTGTGCGCATATATATCGGTTGATGAAGAGGTGTGAGACATTCTATCCATTAAAAAAAAATAGCCCCCAAAAAAGAAAGGGCACAGCGTCTCCCTTGCAAAAGAGAAAAGTATACCGAGTTGCAAGTTTTGTATAGGGGTGCTAGAGTTAATTAACTTGCTACATATAAGGAACATGACGGAACTGTTAACAGTACTGAAGCTTGATGCGAAAAGCGAGATGAACAGACTATGTTCACATCAGGGAAAAAAAGAGTGATGAGCATAATAATGCGTGCAATATACTCGCGTGGTTCCATAATTCTTGCTGCGGTTTTAGATCAAATTTGAACTACAAACACAATAAAAATTATGAAACAAAGCGAGTACATAAGAAGGCAAAGTGATTACATGTAGTTATGAGAAACACGTAACGTTGCTACTCGTAACAATTTCACAACCCTCACAAGTCACCAGTAGCACACCAGTACATAAACCGAAGCCGTAATATGGTGTGAAATAACCCGAAGGCAAACGAAATGGTAGAACAGCCGATCGACGCGCCACGCAGACGCGGAGGTGCAGAGCACACATTATTCAGAGTAATTAAACCAGCCGCCCTGGGCGGTATGCATGCATGTCTAGAATCGGTTCATGAGGCCCTTGAACCACTTCTTCACGCCGCCTTCCTCCGCCCCGAGGTGGTGGTCGCCGTGGTTGAAGCTCCTCCTCGTGCTCGCCAGTACTTCTAGTTCGCCAGCCTCGTGGTCGCCGTCGTGTGCGTGGAGGTGGAAGCGTCCGAGCAGCTTCGTGTTCATGTCTTCATCCTTGTCCTGCCCGTGGTTGTCGTTTGTCCTTCTCTTCCTGGTCGTGGTGGTGGCGGTGGGGGAGGCCGACGCAGTGACCGAACCTCCTCGCCATCTTCACTGCCTCGTTCTCCTGTCCCTCCTCCTTGGCATGAAACGGCTTTTGCTCGCCGTCGGTGGCTGCGCGTGAGTCGTGGTAAGGCTCCGCAACCGCCTCCAGCACCGCCTTCCAGGGTGCTTGCTCTTCGCCGCGATCAAGCTCGGTGGGGAAGAAGACCGCAGGTTGGACGCGGGCCTCGCCCAGGCCGGAGAACGCGCCGGGGCGGTGGAAGAAGCCGTGACGGCGCGCCAACCAGAGGTGACCGCGGTGGGAGGGGAGCTCGTCCTCGTCCCATGCGACGGCCGGGCCCGGGAAGCTCGGAAGGGTCGTCACCTCAGCAGCAGCATCCGCCTGATCATCTCGAGTGAGGAGGACGGGGACGGGCGGGCCCTGGTCGTCGGAGATGGCCTCAAGGTCGCGGCAGCTTGCGACGGACACGAGGGAGAGGAGGAGCAGGGCGAGGGTGGCGAGGCGGGCCATGGTGGCTGGACCTGGAAGACGTCTTCTGTGGACTGAGGAGCGGGAGCGGCTGGACGGGGTATTTGTAGTGGAGAAAGGAATCGATGTTTTTATTTTCTGGAAATGAATGGATTCTGATGGAGGTGGATCGCCCTTAAGTATTTGGTCAAATGGTTCGTTGGCTTGAGATTAAAATTTCAGCTTCGATATATATGCATCCTCTTGGCGCAGGAGACGCGTTAATTAACTTACCTGTTCCATCACATCGGTGACGCTACATGCACATGACTGACTAGACCACATTAACATTTGTTCGTTCGAAACGGTGGAACTGCAAGCTATCTTTTTCTGAGTTGCACTGCATATATATAAAGAGATATCTGTAGCAAATTAAACTGAAATTTTCTGGTGTACTGCATGATTGCACCCTTGCATTCGACGAGTCTACCGTCGAGAGGCGAACTAGTATGTGTCGATGCTCGACGTGGTCCAATTGCGTACGCGATGATGTCAACTGTGTCACGGTTTCAAATAACAATATCCATGATGGGAAGATCAGACGTGGGAGAGATATTCAGTCTCTCAGCAGACTGAAATCCCTTACTTTGCCATTCTTTCTAGAATTAGATTTTGGTTAATAGCCTTTGGAAGGCATGTGTTGTGTTCTTTTTTTTGGGTGTGTGTTAAAGGGCCCAAGACCCATATATATATCCAGCATCACATGTCCTTAGAAACACAACCATATAGAAACGTAAAATTACATTCATATCTCGTGGGGGGTGCCAAAGTCTTCTTCCTCCTGCATCCACCGGCGACGCGCCATGAGCATAGTTCGATGCCACCTCTAGGCGTCTGGCTCGGCGGAGCAACCGTTTTTAAACCCAGGAGCTTGTAGAAGCAACGGCTATGAAGGTGCCGATATTCCAACCAGGAGACGTCCGCGACTGCGACTGGCGAAGGAAATCGCCGCTCCGGAGAAGAAAACAACGATGAGAACTTGTAGAAACAACGGAGGCAATAAAAGCTGCCCGAATCCACATGGATCCATCAAAAACCTAGACCGCCTGGATCCCAAAAACATTGCCATATACACGCCTCCACACGCCCTCCGCCGATCATGAGCACACCAATTGAACCAGGAAAGAGGGGAAAGAACATTTCTCCTACACTGAAACAACACCACCACCTTGCCGACTCAAACCAAACTCGAAGGCCGCCTAAAGAAGACGCGCTTGGCACACAGTTTAGTCCTTTTTTTCACTTTTTGATGAATGTGTGCATTAGGCATCCCGAAATCCTATTCCACGCTTGGTCCACCGTTTAGTCCCTTTTATTTTGAGAGTCAGTCCCTTTTCTCTTTATGAGGAGACACTGTTTAGTCATTTATTTCTAGAAGAGACATCGTTTAGTCAAGCAGTCACGCATAACCAATCGTTTTGGGCCGGCCCATGTGCAAGATGTCTGCCTCTTTTGTATGTCTTTTTGTTTCTTTCCATTTTATTTTAGGTTTCTATAGGTTTATCTTTTTCATTTTTCTGATCAGTTTTCCCTTTTATTCTTCCATACATAATTTTTTTATAAGTAGTTCATGGACATTTTTAATATGTAACAAACATTTATAAGTAAGTGACGTTTATTATTACAATAATTTAGATATAGGCAAATTAAAAATGTCCATCAAATACAATTTTTCTTACATGAGCATTACACTAAAATATTCTGACAACTTTATTTTATTATACAGAAAAATTTATATAATTGTATGATTTTAAAATGCATCCAACAATTTTTCCCATTACTAGAAAAATGTGTAGAGCACATTTTTACTTACATGAATGTTCAATGGATGAACAATTTTCTAATTACACGAACATTTTATAAAAATTCTTTACATAGTTTATAAATTACATGAATTTATTATAAAAAGTCGTCTTGTTGATCTTGCTATGATCTGATAAAGTCGAAGTAATCCATCATGCCAGTAACTTGGGCACATCGATGCGTGGTAGAACCACGATGCGATTCACACAATATGAAAGGCGTGCAAGCACGACAACCGGACGGCTCCTCGTCCCCAATAGCGATTTCCAACAAAAAGATGGCGCACAACTCCCTATGCCGCTTTAGGGCGTATGCCAAAACGATGGCGAGCTCACTCATTGCGGCAGCCTCTTTGCACGCGAGCAATAACGCCTTGGGGTCCCTATAGATAAAGCATACCATGCATGCAAACGGGTCAATGACGATGCCGAAGAAAGGGACTGCGTCCCGCACAATAGGAATCATGGTCAAAACCCTTGCCATTTGGCAAAGTGAGGGAGCTGGGAAGTTTAACAACCCCAATTCCTGGTGGCGAGGATGGCTAATATAACATCCCCTAGATCGGCTCACAATAACATAGCCCCAACGAATGGCGAGGTCGGAGACTTCGACATAGTGGTTGAGTGGCACCCTAGCTAACAAGCACCACCCCTGGCCTGTTATGTGGATACGAATGGAGCATGAGTGGTCGGTTGGCTTCTACTCCCTCCGTCCCAAAATAAGTGTCTCAACTTTGTACTAACTCTAGTACAAATTTGTACTAAGCTCAAGACACTTATTTTGGGACGGAGGAAGTAGTAGATAACCTTTGCAGTCCGAGTCCCCCATAGGCAAAGTAACATGCCTCGGTCACCTCCATTGCATGCGGCCATGGTGTCACTTGGTCGTAGACATTCAAAAGCTCAGCGGTTGTATATGAACATGCGGGATTTGGGCGGATGGATTGGTGCCTGGCTCTGGATGTTAACTATCTAAGGCATATCTATATAATAATATACTCTCTACATATGTAATATATATATCTAGTATTGTACAAATGAAAGAAAAGACCCATACTAGCTGTGTTCTCAAATCCTCACCTTATAACCATCTCTAGTGGACCATTTGTAGGCAAACTTCACAACTCTTTCTCCTCACAGTACCCTGTTGCAAAATGTTGATGTGCCTACTATATCGCAACGGAAAATGTTTGGATATGAAGCATGATATTATGCATAAATTATAGTATCTCAAATTTTGCCTTCTCCATGCATATATCTCTTTTCCGAGGAGCCAACGAGACATATATTGAGGTAATAAATATTTGGGACGCCTAAACCACTACAATGGAGAGAATAAACTTCGAATGTAAGCATTCTGGATCCCTAACTCGCTGTCTTTTTCCTGCATTTCCGATTCTCCTTCAAGTCTTAAATTTTTCATAACAACAAAAATTACAGGCTTTTAAAAAAATGTGTCAAACATTTTTTTACCTAAAACTAGCAAAGTGGCCCGCCCGATATGCGGGCTAGAATTTTATAATTTTTTATCATGAGAACTCGTTATTGAATTTGTGTAAAGAAAGTGAACGTACTGTGATCACATTCACAAATATCAGCTTTTGCAAACATAGTTTTATCTTGGTATGTTTGATTTCATCCCTGATATACAATATATATGTTATGTAGTTATTTACCTCATTCTTACACATATTGTACTTTGCAATCAATCGTATTGTGCAATTTATATTTTTTGCAAAAAATTTAGCCGTTTTATCATGTTGGTTTGTTCTATGATTTCTTCCGTAAAAAAACATATGTATAGGTATATTACTAATATTATAGAAGATTGACATATTAACCTTTTAGTTTTTTTGAGAAAACCTTTTAGTTGTTGATATGTGTATCCATGATATTTTTGCCAATTATCTCTAACTTGTTCTTTTAATTGACTGTGAACATCTTAGTAAACATAGTTTTAATTTTAAATTTGGTATATCAAGGAAATGACATTTTTGTAGCATTTATCATTAAAAAAATTCAACCCCTTTAAAGAAATTTTGGTGGAAGAATATTTCGTCATCCTATAATCAATTCAAAAATTGAATTATCATAGTTACAACTTACAACAAATCACTACAGGTTGTGAAATTGGAAAAATACATTTAAAAACAAAATAAACTATGCCTAGTGGAAGGTCAAGGACTGTGATATATCAAAAAAGGCAGAAAAGTAATAAATAAACCTATTAGCTAGAAAGTACCATGGTAAATAAATTAAGTGAGAATGGTAAATGGAACAAAAATCATCACAAAGGATGTACAATTAAGAATAATGGCGGAGCAAACACCAAATTAATGATTATTAGGTACTTCATTTATTAAATTTGATTTTTTTTCATGATCCATCTAGCTCATACACTGAAGCGGATGAACTGGGTCCTACCTATAAAATACTAATTCCATGGAGCAAGAAACTGATATATCTGATTGTGTCCTGAAATAGTTTAGGCTAGAGACATAACTAAAATTATGGTAGTGTCCATGTGATCATCATGTAATCAAATTATTTCCATTTCCCAAGCCTTCACTTGGTACCAGATTGAACAGAAAAATAGCACACATATAGAGGATGTTTTGTCATCATAACATCAAAATCTTATTTCATTATTTTATCAAAATTATCTACTTCGTAGGATTTTAGCCTTTAGGTTTGGTGAATGAGCAAACAAAAAAATGTAGCTGGTAATTAAAGAGAAAAATGGGGTACAATCAAGATGATTGTACATCATCAAAGAAACAGGATATGTGGGTGTAATAAAAAGCTTGAGTCTGCAGGGCATGCCTATAATAATATTCTTTTATTCTGATTAGATATTTCCAATCCGTCTAAGAAATTGTTCCTAACAAACCTAATTGCAAGGTAATCAGTTTTGCTCAATAAAGAATAATTTCACAAGCTCATCGACTTTGCTTGTGTTTGGAATTATGGTAGATTATGATAATTGGTTGGGCTAACCAACTTTTCCCGTATTCATGGGTAGTTTATTTTAAAACAAATTATAAAATATGTCTAGTGACAATTCAATAAACCAGGCCTTCGATATAAGATATTTTCATTTTACTAAGGAATAGTACTACATTATTATTTTGTTTGCTAAAACAATAGATCAATGACCATATATATGGTCATTCAAACAGTAAACAATTTAGTACTTCAACA